CTCCTCCGGGGCTTTCTGCTCCTTCTGCGCAGCGCAGGCACGTGGCTGGCACTCAGAGGACAGACTTTAAATAACCGCACCGCAATGACTCACGCGTCACCCCAGGCAGTCTGGCTGCCGGCTTACATAGCGTGAAAGCCGGTGATCTCTGGAAGAGGAGAGGATCCTACAGCGAGCAGACATATGGCTCAGTTCCTGGCCAGAAGGTGGGAGGGAGGGACGTGTTTGGGGATGAGATAGGCTGGGAGGCTCCGTCCTCCTGACCTGCCTGCACATGCCACGTTTGCTCAGGAATTGCCCCGAGTCAGCATTATCTGTGGCTCCGGGCTGCACAGAGGTGGAGATGGGGCACGCAGGGCAGTGCCCGGGCCCAGCATAGCAAGCACGGGGACCCGGAGCGCTGCTTTGCCCTCTGAAGCCCCCAACCCATCCCACAGCCCCTTCCCAGGAGCAGCACGGCCGGCTCGGCGTCTCCTGGCTGCGGCAGTGCTGGGGACGGGCCGTGCCGGGTAAATGTCACGGCTGTCCCCGCTCCCAGCCAGCGGCCGTGCCCACGTGTCTCCCATTACGTACGTCGCTGTGCAAATAGGAGCCGGGGCGCCTCAGGCTCACGCGGAGCTGAGAATGACAGCTGCAGAAATGCAAAGGGGACTATTTTTAACCCCCCCATCTGCCCCCCTCGCTCCTTCCCCAGCTCTTCCCGCAGCCTCAGCTGGGCCATGCGGCCGTTCAGGCGCGGGCACACGGGGGGAAATTCTGGTGGCCCCGCTGAGCTGGTCGTGAGCAACGGCCACGGAGGGACCGCCACGCAGGGTGGTGGTACCCAGAGGAAGCATCCTCCTCAGCCCTCCTGCCCTGCACCTTCCCACCTCCCCCGGGCCTCCCGCCCTCACCTGTCCCTCTCATCACCCCTAAGTCGTCCCCCATCTCCCCCCTAACATTAGAAAGGTCACTCCCTCCTCCAGCCACAGGGTTAGCGCCGTTCCTCCGAGCACACGGCCGGAAGGATCTCCAGGGGGCGATCAGGGCGCTCCCCGGGCACCCAGCCCATCGCGAGCCGCGGGGGAGCGCCCTTGAGCAGCCCTGCGCGATACCGCAGCGCCACCTGGCGGCAGGCCGCCGCCATGACACCGCCCCGCCGCCATTTGGCAGCACCGACGCTGAGCGAGGCAACTTCACAGCCTTCTTCTGCCTTCTCCTTTTTCAGAGGGAAGGAGGGTCGTCGCCTGTTGCCCTTTCGCTATTATTTCCCGGGGACACCCTGCCCCATCTCATTCCAGCATAAATGGCCGACTTTCATCTTAAATCCTCACGACTGGTTTGCTCCTGGTTCCCTTCCATTGCTTTTTCACTCCTTAGTCCAGGCAACGATCTCCCTCCCCACCCCCTGGACGCCTTCCCCTCCCAGCACTGGGACGGGATGAAAGACTGAATCCTTTACACAACCGCATCTGAAGTCTTCTGTCCCCTCCCACTGCGGGCAATTTTGGCAGTAATACCTGTTATGCACACAGGGTCTCCAGCAACGTCCCACCCAGGAGTGGGGATGCCCACCCTGCTGCAGGTCCTGCTGCTTCACCAGGCCCATGGCAGGCTGCCTCCAGCTTTGCACATCAGCAGGGAAGGTATCAGCCTGCTCTTCAGTTGCTTTCGTTCTTCTTGTTTTAAGGGCAAGAGGAAGTTGAAAACATTTTTGCAACCTGGTCACCCATGGATTTAGCATCTTAAAGCCCAAGTGATCCCAGTTGAGAGTTGTAACGTTTGAAAGCTACATAAAATACTTGAAATGTTCTCTCCAGTGACTACATCTAACTATATGTAGATGTATGAAACTACACTAACTATAACTACAGCTATCACAACCAGCAGCAAGCAAGCACCCTGAGCTTAGTGTACACAACTGTTGCATATTTCTCAATGAAAGCATTCCAGTTGCTATTTCAGAGCAGCAGAAACCAGAAGACAGATCCTTTCCCTGCTGCTCTGCAGATCAGAGGAGAAAAGAGGAAAATGGAACACAGTTCAAGTCCCGAAGTCAGCAGATCCCCCCGCCGTATAACAGGAAGGAGGTTGAATAAGAAGCTGTTTTGTTTTTTTTTTTTTCCATTGCCATCTTTCAGATCACTAATGGCTACAAGTAGGAGAAAGCAGTTCCATTTCCTGAGAGGAACTAGCAGTACAATGTGCAGAGCTGGCATGTTTGGAAACTTGTCCCCCACACACCCAAGAGGATGTACAACGACCCTGGAAAGAAGGCACTGAATTATCAACATCTGCACTGCTGCCAGCTGTGCTCCCAACAGGGAGCAGATACCAAGCATCTCCCACTGATTCTAGCATTGATGCCAAGAACTATGAGGATGCATCCAACACACCCTTGTAGCCATTCAGTTTCTACTGCAGTACTTTGCTTTGGCAATGTCACGTTCTTGGCCTACAACACACAGCACAGGTCAGGCCTCTCCCTCTACACAGCATTTAGCTTTTTAGCTTTCCTGCTCAGATTGCCTGAATAGCTAATCATGTCTCAGGCAGATAGCCAGGGAAAAGCTACTCAGTTACACTTCCTTCCTTCAGCAAAATCACAACAATTCATTTGCTAATCCACCACGGTAGGTTTCATGGTAGTCATCTTCATGGTCATCTTCATGCATTCGTTTCAGAATTACCCTTTTCAACAAGAGGTTAAGCTGCTCTTCATAGACTTTGTGTACTGCCTAGTCTGTACACCTCTTTTCTTCCTCAAATGCCAGAAAACAATCAGTAAATATCTACATTTCCTGTTTGAAATCATTTCTTTCCTACCTGCCCCCACCCTCCAAATCACAAGATACTCTTCATGAGATACTTTTAACAAAAGCAAAGAATCAAATCAACCTTACTGCATTTTCATGGCATGCTAAAACGCCAGTGACCTCATCTTCCTTGAGAGCATACATCTCAGGTAGAACTGTTACAGGCTGCAAGAGGCCAAGGACACTAAGCATCTTGCTCTGGAAGGTCAGTCCGACACCGAGGTATAAATGGCATTTCTTACCACTCCTTTCCCACTAAATTGATCTTTACCTACCAACCCTTGGAAGGAAAAAAAGCAAAATTTAGGTTGAAAACGAAGGAATGGCAAAGCTGTCCTCAAAACCTTGCGGATTTTTAAACCTGTTAAATCAGAATAGGGCAGCCAGCTAGCAGCTACCTGCACACCAAATAGTTAACGCGTGGGAACAGCAGTGGGGTCACGGAAGGCAATCAGCTCCTCAGCATCTACCGACTTCAGTGCAAACTGCAGGTGTGACGCTGGCAGTTGGAAGGGTACAGCACACAGATTGCTATCTAGAGAACAAAACTACTGAATCTCTGTGTAGTGGAATATACTTTTTATTTCTTAAAAAGGAAGGGTACTAACAGAATTTAATACAGTCAAAATTTTACATTTTAAACAAAAGCTTTTGTTTTTCTTAAAAACCAGTTATGAGCAGAGAGGTGAGAGGATTGAAACTACTCACAGAATCCAAGCTGAAGACTTTGAGAATTCAAATCTGTGGTTTATACAATTTAAAAAGTGTAATAAATGGAAATATAAAATAATACCAACTCTGCAACAGCGAAATGCCCTTTCTTCATTTGATTGCTGTTTAAGCACCTTTATTTTCTTCTATCAGCTGCCAAGAGTGTGTAGGTTTATGTACAAAATAAGTAGGTTGGGACAAAAGATTCATATATGAATTAAAACCATTTATGGCGATCCAGCTTTACCCAGCCACTATACAATCTTCATTATTTCTTTTGTTTCTATAGAATCTCTCAGCCAGAATGATCTCAAATGCACTTCATGGGCTGCTCTGAAAAGCAGCTACATTTACAGGAATTATTTAGACAACCTTTAGGAGTAGGCATCCAAAGAGATTAGACAACTTAGCACGTAATAAAACTAAGGTTCATTTGTCTCTCATATAAATACTGTGCAGATTTATCATCCATCCCGTTGAACTGCTGGGACAGATCAGTGCCACGTCTGAAGCCAAATAAAATATTTTTATCCAAGAGGAAACGAAATTTTAGGCCAAATATAGCAGACAGGAGTTCCCTCTGACTTTGTAGTTCAAACTGAATGTCTTTGAAAAAGCCTTATAGGAACAGAATTTTCTGAACACCCTGCACATATGCTTTGCTATTTTATAGCCTAGAGACATGGGTGGGGGGGGGAGGAAGAGATCATCTGTGCTCACTAGAAAAGATGCTGTAGCTTTGTTGTTTATGGAACACCACAGAAGCAGCTGATACCAGATAAAGACTGGCCCAGTACAGCATCGAAGACAAAGAAGTTACGTTATGGCTGGAGAGGCTGTTCTCACAGGCTGATCTCCTAGCTGAAGACTGACAGACCAGTCTCCACATCTCCTGAAAGTGTTGGTGTTTCCTAACGGACTGCTTGTGATTAGAATCATTAAGGTTGGAAGGGACCTGTAAAAATCATTTAGTCCAAGCATCAACCCAGCTTGCTCCACTGTTCCTCCTTTAACACAAGACAGAACAGGTTGTGAAAGCTGATGAGAGTTCCAGCTGTGCAGCATTCAGCAAAACCTCAACTCGTTCATTGCTTTACCTCTCCAAAACCAAGACAGGGTACTCATGTCATCTACGTACATAATGCATCTAATAGAGATGCAGGCTATCCAGGTTACAAATGAGCTTCAGAAACAGTCACTCACTGTTTCATTGCAACTTGCTGCAGTCAGGCTGAAGGGTGGAGGCAGATCTGTTCAAGCCAAAAGAGGGAACAGTTGGAAAAAACCAAACCCTTTCATTTTCCTCAATCTCTAAGTGTTATGAATCATTTAACACTGCCACTTTCCAAATGCTACTCACACACAACAAAATTAATTGCTCAGCTAATGGGGTGGGAAGAATACAGTTACTGGTGCCATGGGTGACTACCCTTAAAGAGAGACTGGAAAAGAATCAGTTCCCTCAAATTCTCAGTTTCTCTGCTAAAGTAGCTCTTTTTTTTTTTTTAATTTTTAAACACATTTTGTCTTGATAGAAAGCATCACAACTAGACTAGAATTCCACAACATCAATCTTGGTTTTGATTTCTGCAATTCTCTAGGAAAAAAAAAAAATAAAATCGTCCCAAATCAAGCTACACGAAGCATTAACAATATTCAGGAATTACAATGGAAGCACTTATTTATTACTTCATAGAACAGATCAGTTTTAAAAGTGTATTTACACGTTCTAAGTTATACAAAATACAGTATTTCAATAGTCATGTTAATAATCACCATATTTGAGACAACTTCACATAAAAGTGCAGAGGATGCATCCTTCCACGGTCCTGGCCAGCAGCAAGCGGTCTCACCTGCAGCGTGACAGATCAGAGCTGCTATTGTGCTCCCTGGGGAAAACAAACGCCGCCATACCTTCCCACTGAGACACAGCTGCAGATCTAAGGAAACATTCAGGCAGGTACACGAGCAAAGTTTGTTGAGACCCACAGATCAAAATCACATGCCTTAATTTACTAGATGGATGTGAAGTACTTTTTTTTTTTTTTTTTTTTTTTTTTTTTTTTTTTTACAGGTGTTGTACAGGAAAGGGCTTCTGCTCATGCCTTGGTTGGGAAAATGACGTAACAAGGGTTTTGGCTATGTAACAGGCACCCAAATTACCTTTAATATGAACAGCCTTATAACTACAACTGACGGTGTTAAGGACACAATTCTGCAGCCCACTGCCTGGACAGAGCTTCACGTTCAAAGATGCTGTGAAGTCCACGCGGTTCTCTATAGATACAGGGCTCATCCCATGCAGAACTGAGGTCTTAAAACACTTGGGGCCTCAGATAGTAATTTCTTCATGACACAGCACTATCAGCTCACAGGAGCAAGTCAAGTCCTGGCACAACAGCACACTCAGGTCAAGCAATAGCTATTTGTTCATGCCTTTCTGCGGCCACTCTCCACCCCCATCTCTGTATTCCTTTCACTTCGTTCTGAACCGTGGGCATGAGATCAAGAAAAGGAGATTCCCAAACCTAAACAAGTTTCCTAAAACCTAAAAAATCTTCTACAGGAAGGGGATCCAAACTGCTGCCGAATTTAAACAGCGAGGCTTTGGTTTCAGCAGCCTAATTTGGGTCAGTAACCTGTGGTACTGTTTTCCCCACTTCCATTTTCTGCTTTACTTAACAGGTATTTTTATGTTTATCTACATACGTATCTTCCTCAAAGTATTCCCTTTCTCCCATAGTTGCTTCAACTTGAAGTCTGCATTCCAGAAGGGACTTCCTAGGGGACAGCATACTCTCAAGTTAAAAATGAACATTCTGTATGACAAATCTGCATTGTTGACAATTAAATCATTGTAGTTTCTCAATGAGCATTATGTTAGCATCTCCACAGAAGTCACATTTGCTCTTTCTACCTTCTTCCCATTCTTTTGTTGTGAATTTATCCATCTTCACCCCGTTACAGTGGCAGCTATACAGATCAGAATAATTGGCTGAAAATCTAGAAAACTAGCCAGTATCTTCCACTATTGCAAAGGCAAAACAACAGCACTGACAAATTTAGTTTGCTGCTTCTGGATTTAGATGTAGATTACTAAGAAAAAAAAAGATCTATGCATTAAGATAAGTTTGCATTTCTTATCTCCTGCTCATCAGCTAAAACAGTGAGGGCAAATGAAATCCTGTCTGGGTTTTAAAGGGTACAAGATACCTTCACTCTCACTAAAAATGAAGGCATCCGATCACAAGGAACAGAGCCGTGTTATCCTGAAGAGGTTTACAAGGCTGAAGCAACAATATTCTCTTCTGTGCAAATCCATTATTTTTGGGGAAAAAAAATTCCCCACAAAAGAACATTTTATTGAGCTGTTACTGCTGGCCCTCCACTACACCCTTCAACGTGAAATACATTTGTTAAAATCAGTAGCAATCCTGCAGGTAACACTGAAAGTGATTTTGACAGCTGTAATACCTTGGGCTTGCAAAAAGCACAGCAGGGAAAAGGAAAATTGTCAGAAATTACATAAAACGTTATCAAAAGAACTGGTAGAAAGCCACATAACATTCTTTTTAAGAAAAGAAACAACCAAACAAGAAAAAGCGACAACAAAAACCATTTCTTCTCCCAGCACAAGTTTATAGTATGCTTTTTAACCCTGTCCATGATGGGGGAGGGAGGGAAAAGATTTCAGACTGTCTGAGTATCAAAACTGTGTGAACAAATAAGTGAAGGATCAGTTCATGAGCACGACACCTGCAATCAGGGATACATCCACCTGATCCCAGCATAGGGAGCTCCAGAGTAACACAAATACAGCCAGGGCTCCAGTGCTTGCTTAACGCTTGATGCTCACCTCACCAGAACAAAGACTTTTTCCTATGGAAGTTAATGAGATCTTTGTTAGTGGCTTCACTGGGAGCAAATCTTGGCATCAGATGAAAGAATAAAGTTCTAGGGACTTATTAAGTACCGAAATGTGTTGCTGCATGGAAATGTAACTGCATGGATTACAAGGTCATGCACGAAAGCAGTACTGCAATAAGTTCTGTGCATCACTTGTTCATTGTCAATTTTTCTGTAGAATAAGACAACAGTCAATTGCCATTATCAACAGTTTGTGCACTTTGAAAGCTAGTGCTGTGCAACGGCTGTTTGATTTCTATCTATTTCTTAATGAATGTAGAGCTGCCAAAAACAGCTCCCTTTAATGGCAATCCCTGCAGCGATGCTCCAAGATGCATTCCCTTGATTCTCTCCCCTTGGAGATGGTCCCTTTGTGGATGCAATGGAGTGCATTGGCAATAGGCACACTTACGGCCTCTACGTAGCACGTTCCAAGGTCAGAGAACTTCAGACACTAACAGTGTCAATTCAGCATCTTTTAACACGTAGACTGAGCTAGAAGAATATTGGCCTTATGATCACTATGGAAAACGTATCCAAGCTATCATTTACAAATAGGATAGGCATCCTCAACAAAGAAACGAGACTGTAAGTGAATCTCTCTGAAAGGAGCAGCATGCTCTGAAGCAGTAAGCTCAACTTCCCAAGACTGCAAAAGCTGAGAATGGAAATCAGCACTGCACATCACTTTGCTGTCTGGCAATGCCCACACTCCTTTCGTAGTTATTACCTTCTCATCTACCCTTGAAAATGTTGATTCTTAACAAAAAAAAAAAAATCTCCAACTATAGGAGATCATTCACATTTATCCTGAAGTGTGATTTTCCAGTTTTGCAACCTGTAGATACGTGAAACAGATTGTGTAGTTATGCACTGTTCTACAGGGAAGCACAAGAATTTACTAACAGTCTTCTCTGAAATAAAAAAAAATATATATATATATATAATTCACTGTTAGTTTCCACTGTATAAACATTTGATAGACAGGAAAAGATAGAATTGCACATACTATTCTTACTGTTTTGCTGTTAAAATAGCGTGGCATACTGCAAAACCAGGTCCTGCATACAATGTATAGGCATTTAAAACATGCTCCTAAAGCAGTAAGACAGCAAGACCCAATGAAGGATTAGCAACTCCTTGCCCAGTTACAATATTCTTTGATTTAAGCAGGAAGCATGACTTTCAAGAATAGCCAAAGCCAACTGGAAATGTAGAAATGATAAATGGAAAAAGAGTTGCTTTGCTATATTTACATGCTGTCAGTATTACCAAAATAAAGGAAAAAGAAAAACAGGACATACCAAAAATATCCATTCGAATCTGCAATATTTGCTACAGGTAGTGATATATGCTGATGTTTCAGCAATGCAGAGCTAAGCTATTCATCCATCTGAGGATACTCAGAGATCACCTCAGAATCACAAATTCTGATCATGCACTCAGTATAATTCTGTAACCAACGAAAGTTAAAAATACTTTCTCTACTCCAGATCATGGTCCATTACAAATAACAGGTCAATAAGTGCATTTAATATATATGCCCTTTACAGAGGTTATGCTTTCAAAAAAAAAAAAGTTACAAATTCTGCATTTTAATTTTTATTTTTTAAGTGAAGGTACAACATTATCTGCTGCCTTGCATCTTTTTCTCTTTGCCTTTCTGCTCTGAAGAGTGGTATCTCTTGGATAAACACTAACTCAGAATACTTGCTCAATGTTGTGTCAGGTTTTGCTGGTAACTAGTTGTGCCTCATAACTCAGGCACTTGTGCTTCTGAAAGCTTTTTGGATTATTTCTCTTGAGGTGTATGCTGTTCATCCATCTCCAGGCACAAATACAACAAACATTCACTCCTGTCTTACAGGCTTCAGCTCTGTGCTACTTTCCCAGAAAGTAAGTACTTGTTCTTCCCACTTAAACATAGCTCTTAACCTTCCTCAATATAAAGGTAAATTCTTGTTTGGCTGATGAAGCTATTACAAAGGAACTTCCACCTACCTTCCCCATCCTCTACACACAATAATCATCTCCACAATCTGCCTAAGCTTTCAGCTACTCTCCCACACCAGCACAAGGAATGGTCTGCTGTACCTCTGCATAGTCTTTAGTCGTTTCAGATTTGTCAAACAGATGAAATACTCTTCTGCCACCGCAGTTCTCGTGTAGTCAAGAGAGAACAAATTGCAGCACGGCAGCTCATAGCCATTGCTTTGCTGGCACTAATACTCACTTGGTAGTCTTACACTGCCAAAAGACATGGGGATCAGACTAGCACCTTGTCCATGACTGCTAACTCATAACAGAAGATCAGACTTTGTTTCAGCGAGATACCATTAAAGAAAGTGAGCCTTGAAAAATAATAAGAAGGCAGGTTACAGCAGTGTTTTCACTTACATGGGTCGTTTGATAGAGATTTCTTACAAGCCTTCGTATGGCACACTGGGGCACTTTCTGGACTGCTTCAATACATCTGCTGTATTACTCTGCACTGGAAGCCTTACACATCACAAACTGCTGTCTTTGATTCTGCACTCACAATACTCCACAAGATGCTATGCTGTACCAGAAGCGAGCTGCAGCATTAGGTACAACTTATTCTACTGCAGGGGAAAGAAGTTTTAAAGTATAGCAGTTCTTAATATATACAGACACTTCCATTTAAATCTCTCTATTTTCTTCCACTCGAGTGCCAAAACAGTCACTACTCACACAGGCTGTCAACAGACTTTGAAACATGAACTTTGAGCATCTTGACAAAACCCCAGTAAGTAAGCTTATTGTAGTTCATAGTTACAGTGAGAAAGACAGATAAGAAAGCCATATACAGAATTAAGGAGACTTTGCACTTTTCATCATGCCCAGCCCTGGGTAGTTCAGATGGGGTACTTGCAGGCAAGCAGGCAGGCAGGGTCATCGTCAGTTGTGTTGGGACACCTCAAAGATTTCACTGCTCACTCTGAAGACTGGCGATTCATGTGTGCTTTTTAGTTTCTTTGTTTTTAAAAGTCTTTAAAGTTGCATCACTCGGAATCAGATAAGTCACTTTAAACAAAGCAAAGTGTTAAGTGTGACAATTTATTTATAATATACTTCCCACCATCACCACCACCACACACCACCCTGTGAAAGCAAATCCCCTGCTGAAAGGGTGACCATTTTTAGCATGTTTGAAAGAAATCAGACCAACACAGTATGAAGAGACATTCTGGTCAAATTAGAACATAAAAAGGGGAGAGAGATCAAAGCATACATTTACTTTAACTGTACTGAATTAGCCTGCTTCTCCACTTTCTTAAGAAGTCAACGCACAATTGGTTTAAATTCGTACCAATTTTTCCATTATGTTTAAAAGACAAGCTGGGCACAAAGTCTTTAGTACAGGAAAAAAAAACTCTGTTTCATTTCCCTCAACATTCTTTTCAGACTTCAAGAGGGGAACTGGAAACTATCTTCTCAACATCTTCTACCTCATTTACTCCCTAATAGAAGCGTTAGCTCAGAAAGCATAGCTTAGAAGTTCTGACATAACCACTATCTTAAGATAGCTTCTCTTGTCTAGAAGGGAACTTCTGCACAAATACTTCTGTTAAAGCTTCTGGTTCTTGCAGCTGGAGGTCATGGAGAAGGTCCCAACATCACACACAGCATAGTTCTCTTTTAGCAGCACATACTGTCGAAGCAGCACTCGGTGCTGAGAATGGATTATTTTCAAGAGGGCAAGTCTTGTATATTAATTTTCTATCAAGAAGCATGCTAGAGAGAGAACCAGCAGGCACAGAGAGTCCAGATACACTGCTACACAAGAGATATGGAGGTGTACTGTTGGTAGCTTGTTCCATAGCACATTCGGGAGGCAAAGGACCAAAACAAACAAACAAAACAACAAAAACTCTGTACATCAGGTAAGGTGTAACAAAGTAAGAGTGGCTGGTTTCTCTGTTTCTCATGCTATGGAAGATTTCCTGTAAAAATTTTAAAAGCAATTCTTTAACAGATGGGTCTCAAATTCAGCATAAGAAGGCAGACTTCTTTTTCTCCCTTACTCCTCAGTTATGATGAATATGCTGCTTCATCAGCAATTCAAGGAAGTCTCCCCTCGGGGAACAAAAAATGAGGGGTGGTGGGAGAATTACAGCCTAACATCCACAACAAACTATTCTGTAGTCATCTGTAAAGTGAGAGCCCCTGCTGTTCTCTAGGCTCCTGGAAGTTATCCAGAACTAGAGCCTATCAAGAGGCTTGAGCAGTATTTTACCAACACTGTACTGATTGTAGTTTTCCTAACGCTTAAGGTAGAGATCTCAGTTTCCACAAGAGAATTGAACACTTCCCTGTCCTAAAGATTCTCTGTTCCTCTTCAACAGGAAGAGAGTGCTTTCTAGTGCCTCTAAACGGGAGAGGAAAATTTCACGATGCTGCACAGCAACATCTTAAAATTATGTTTCACAATTTGACTGGGGCAGGGAGGTGGCACACAGGTACAAAAGAGTAGGATTTTCTTGAAAACAAAAAAAAGAAAAAAGAAAAAGAAAAAAGAAAAGAGCCTAAGGGACTCTGGTCTTTGCTTTTTTCCCTCCATTGAAAAAAAGAGAGATTAGAACAGAAAGCAAAAGCTCTGTCCAGTCACAAGGAATCCATATATATTCCTTTGGACAGGATAATCTGTTCTTTCGTATGACATCAGAAAGTGCTCTATTAGTGCTAAAGTTGTAAATACGGACACAAAGGTTTCGGGCAACGTGATAATCAGGAAATGTGTCTGAATGTTGTGCCAACAGATTTTTTAAGATGCAAAATGGCAAAGCCTCCACAAACTTTATTTCTGAAAGTCTCTACAGAAGGCAGAGAAGTCTAAGAGGCTAAAACAAGGAGCCCTAACAAGGAAAAGGGGTGTGCTTACAAGGGTCCGTATCTGGTCTCGTATTTAGAAACAATGTTCTTGCATCGCCCCACTTCCTTGCGCAGCTCTGCAACCTCCGTCCTCAGGGCCGTGTTCTCTTTCTCAAGGAAGGCTGCCCGAATTGTGATCTGATTCTCCTTTAATCGTCGAGCATCACGAGAACGCTTTGCTGCCACGTTGTTCTTCTTTCGCCTTGTCCAGTACTTTTCATCCTGGAGCAAAAAGAAATAAGAAAAAAAAAAAAAAAAAAGATGCCAACCTGACATTTTGTATCAAATAAACACCTCTGTCCTATAAGGGCATCACATGCCGTACTTGAAAGCTTCCTTCATTGGTTCGTAAGGCTCAGATGCTAAAATATAAGCAAGAGAGAGCTGTAAGATTTCATAATCACACACAAGTCTTGTTTTAGCATAAACAAGACACGCTGCTAGAACTGGGGAGAATAAAAGACTTGGCTACTAAGCTGTCCAATTGAAATCTGACCTTGACTTAATTCCAATTCAAGAATGAACTTCCAAGGAAAACAGCCTATTTTCTTGTCTGCTCAAAGCTATAGCAGGCATAATGCTGGGCAAATACATACACTGGCCTTCAAAGCACAGCGCAATGTGGACGTGACCTGATAGTTCTTCTAATTTCTGTGTGTATCATTTTCAGTTGCTCCTGCTTGGTAATTATCTCATGGTACTAAACCAGCAAGAACAGCAGTTTACTTGTCAATTCTATTCCTGGCAGTGCTTTTCCCCAATCATGTGTGTATAGCATGTTACCTTTATATGTGAATGCGTTTGGTCAAAGAGTGAAAAATTTTGATCACAGCCTAGAGAAGTCTGCAGTAATAAATCTGTTACCTTTTGCTCATCTGGGACAAAAACCTTCTTTGCTTTTTTAATCATTGGTTGTGGTTTCAGGTCCTCTTCAGTAAACTTGTGCTTGCGAGGATTGAAAAGCTCACCACCAGGCACACTGGACAGCACTAAATCAGCAGGGTCAGGATTAAAATTCACCTCAACTTCTACACAGTCAGGATCAATGGGGCTGGGTGTATTTCTCTCATTTCGCGGTGGGGATTCTGGCAAAAACAGAAGTTGCAACACATTCAGCAGGATGAAGAGAATTAACTCAGAAGCCACGCTGGATATCTCTGTTGTTGCAGCTAGCATTTAATAGCACTACCTGATATTTCTCTAATGCAATGCTTGGTACTGCATGTCCATTGTAATACAAGCTCCAGGAACATCTGCCAAATTAACAGACGTGAGTAGACAGGTGTGGGACAAAAGCTAAGACTTCCTCAAAGTGCTTTTTGCACTTGAGCACATTTAGCATTGCTACAACAAGTGTTTCTAAGTACGGAAATTGTATCAGCCTGAGATTTGTCACTTTGAAAACTTCACAGAAAAAAGCTTGCCCAAATACTGCAGTCCTAAATCCTTCAAAGGTAAGACAATTGCATTACCAAAGGACTAAAGAAGTGTAGATTTGGTACAAATTTAAATACATGCTACTACCTTGCCACATGGGAACAGAAGTGCCCCAACAAGCTGCCTGACAGTGTTCACATGAACTTTGACATATTTATCTATCGCTTAACAATTCAAGTTCATGAAGTTTATAATGTCAGTGCAATCTGAAGCAGAGATCAATGAATAAACCTTTTCATATGCCACCTGGAAAAAAAAACAAAAAACAACCAACACACTTATAGAAAGAATTTCATGTTTTGCTTTTCTCATAGGTGCCCAGGAGGAGGTCCTCAGCAAAATGCTGCAAACTCTGCTCCTGAAATAGCACTGTGCAACTGTAGTGGCTAAGAAGTTTAAACTCCAAATCTAGCTCAAACACTACTTATGAAAAGCAGAATTCTCTCAGTACCATTTAAGTACATAGTTTTGTTTCTTTGTTTCTTCATTCTCTCTTCAAAGCAGCACAGAATATTAAACAGTACCATTAATAGACCTTTTCCAAAGGTCAGTTTGCCAGTTTCACAGGCCAGCAAGGAAAGGCTGCTTTGTTATTTATTTTTTTTCCAATTAAGCATTGTTATTTGAGGGACAAACCAAGGCAGTACAAGTGACTTGGCACAACCTATCGAATCTGTTAGAAGACAATCTGAGCAGCTAAATTCACAACACACCCAGCTTCTCACCAAATAAGCAAAATTAAGAAAGCAAATTCTTTATGCTGGCATTCCAGCTCCACTGATTTCAAAAGAGAAAGGCTGCATACTTGTAAACACTGACTCATTTTTCCAGTAAGGAGACTGAGGAAGACGAGAGGCAGCATCTTCATGAATCAACACATGTTACTTAGCCTGCCACAGCTAACAGCGATGGGTTAGCACATCTTCTCCTGGATCTGAAGAGGCACCTGTTGATAGCAGAACAATCAAAACAATTCCATCTACCTGTGCTGGAGGCTGCTTCAGATTGCTGGTAGACGGCAGTAGATGACGAAGACACAGGAGAACCAGTGGATGCACTGGCTGGCTCCTTTTCTTCCAGCTTAGCCACAGGCATGAGTGGATTCTGGTTCAAATCCAGGTGAGTAGGGCTGGAAGGAATTCCATTCTCTAGGAGAAATTCATCCAGATCCATGTACTCCAGATGGAAAGACTCCCCATCGTAAGGAATAGTTTTGTCCCAGATAGGTGGCATGAGGGAAGCTGAGACTGCCATAGTGCTGGCAGCGGCCGCCTCATCTTCCTCAAGCTTTATCTTCTTCTCTTTATCTGAAAGATACAAGTAGGTCACTGCACAAGTTGCAGCTTTAAAAAAAAAAAAAAATCCCATGGAAGAAAATTCAGTAAACCATATTTCTGCCTCAAGACACGATCTGGAAATGCAGGTGTTGAAAGGCAACGTTTGTATGCAGCTCAGCATGGAGTGCTTTGCCTCCCTGCAACGGCTGGACCACAGTCGAGTAGCCTTGGAGATCAGCAACTCTGCTCTGATAACTCACCAAAGTACACTATAATACTGCATCTGGCTTATTATTCACTAGCCACTGCAAAATAGACTGGTTTTGCTGTTGTGGATTCATTTGTCTTTTCCTGACTTGTCCTGGAAGATGGGGAAGTGAATGTCCTGACATAGAATTACAGTGGAAGCCATTAAGAGAACTTTGAGGAAGCAGAGTAGTTTATTCTACGCACAAGGGAAAAAAGGTGCAGAAGAATAATTTAGATTGACATTCAGAGGTAAATAAGGGTTTTCAGATTGCATTTGAAAATCAGCTAGAAGGGTCCACAGCACATCAGAGACCTGGACCACTACTGTTCGGTATTGTAGATGCATTCCTTTCTAAAATGACTCAGCATGTCCACATAAAGTAATAGCTCCAAATGCTGTTCACTATAGATAGCTCAGTGTACCTACACACAATTTTTACTCTTTGGGGAGATGTCTGATAAGGCATACTCCCACATCTCCACCCCCAAGCCAGAAAAGACTGATGAGTCCATTTACTATGCTTCAAAGCATGTAATACTGAAAAATGGCTGGTTTTACATTCCCCATAGCTACTGAATCTTCACAACTGTCTGGGACAGAATCCAAGCAGAAAACTCAAGTTAAAACTCAATAATTACATAATTTAAGAGATAAAAATAAATTGGCAAAATAAAAAGTCCAAGTCCTGTTCCTGATCCAGTTCTCCACATAGCCATGCAATTCTACCTGCACTGCAAGGAAGCACTGCAGAAGCAATGTTAGGGCAGCGACTACTGGAGCCAGTGCTGCCATCAAAAGGAACAGTCACCAGGTGCAGCTGTACCAACTGGGAATTGCATCTTATCAAGGAAATAGATAAATAGCCACTCTGAGGGAACAAGGGCTGCAGGAACATATACTGGAGCACTGTGCATCTCCAGCATCTGTACACATCAGCCTGACAAAACACACAAGCCCTTGGCAATAGGATATTCCAGACCAGCTAAAATATACTAAAGGAGTATTCTACTTCATCGAGGTGGGAGTGTGGTTGAAACCGTGCTCTAAATCAGAAAAGCCTATTTATATAAAGCCTATTTGATAAAACTGGCATTCCTTCCACTGCTGCCTTAGCTGAGACGGAACTGAGATTGAAAGAGCTTTTTATGGCTCAAAGAACAGCACTGCCATACAAAATAAATTATCATTTTCATCTACCATCCCCCGAACATTTTACACAAGAGATAGTTACTAATCTAAACATATAAGAAAATACTTATCAGCTACAGACTAACAGTAAGTACCAAAGGGTAAGCTTTGTTAACATTATCTCCTTGCAGCCATGGGGTGCTCCCCTCACAACTTCACACTGCTGCCTCTGAACTTCCACCTCCCAACACCTATCCCTGCTATAAACTCCTTTGCTAACTTCCCTACCTTTTCCCAGGCAAAGCAAATGTTTGGGTTAACAGCCACGATCCAAACTGACTGAATGTTCTAAACAGCTTGTACTCGAAGCAAGTAAAGAAATGCTGTCTGCTCTGTTTCACATACAAAGATGACGTCACTAGTGAGGCACACTCCACCAAATCAGAACAGCCATTTTACATCAAGCTTTTGAATCTAGGATAGTGCATTCCCATAAGGTTTGCATATTGCTCAACACAACCACCCAGATCTGTACAAGGAGTTGTGTACAGTATTGTAACGATACAAAACAAGTGACAATAACGATCTCTTTATAAATCACTTTATTTTTTATCAACATGATAAACAACTTGTGAATGTTGAATCAATACACCGTCACCCCTTGGTCTTAAAAACATCAGTATTCCATTATAAACTATGCAAGTCTTAACACAGCCAGTAGTGCATGGGCATTGCAACATCTAACGCAACACCTCAAAATACAAAGCTTAGTTGTCATGTCTCCAACCCCTCCCTTTCCACCCCCCCAGAAGATAGATGCCACTCTGCAGGCACGCGTGGCCCTTATAAGAACTTTCAGAGCCCCACAGATGTGCACCATCATCCTGCTGTACTTTAGCACCCCAAAAAGACCGCAGTCCTTCCAACTTCCTCTTGCTATTGTCCCTGGCTCACATCAAATTAAATCCTTTCTTCACATGAGAGGACCACCTGATTCTTTTCCTTTTGCTACACGTTGAGAACTGGACAAGCACTGAGTCCCCAGTGTCGTCTTTGTTTAGCTATGCTGTCTCTTTCTCCACCCTCACTTCTAGCAGCAATATCTGAAACAAAATTAAAATAGCAGCCGTTAGCAGGCAAACCCAGTGCCCATGTATTTCAAACATGACGCATAAAAAGATAGAACTGTTGTGTGATCATTTTTGCACTGACATTTTCCCACTGGCTTTCTTTCAATTCATTTAATCTTTATTTCCTGCTGCACAACATCCTGCTGGGTACACAATATCTAATGAAACACTAATTAACTTCTTGCATCTTGAGGTGAAAGTTTCTGCCTGCCCCAGCACAGGGACCTGAAACATTAATTCTCCAAATATATTTATAGTGTAAACAGGTATTACCTGACAGCAGAGCTGCAGTATCCTAAGAGGCTCCATTTGCAGTGATTCAAGGTCACCCTGGTAAATCTGGACTGTAGTTCTGCAGCTGAAAGCTCACGTCCAATTTAGCCCCCTCATTCTGCTACTATGACCTATTAACTAGCTCGTACATTTGCTGTTAAGAGAGGTCACTAGTTTACCTTAAATAATTCTGGCAATGAAAAGCAAGAACTCCAGGTCACTAACAGCTGGAAACACTTATTTTAGCAAGCTGGAAAGAGCTTTATTGCTCATGCTTGTTTTTCCACAAGACAAGACAGATATTTAGGCCACTGTCAGTACCCACGCTTTTGAGGAAACCCCCCTTCATCAAAAATATTTTGCCATATTATACCGAAAATGCTGTATAGTCCAAGGCTGATTCTTCCACAGATCTTCAGCCCCATTTGTGACAGTGCAACAAGATAGGTTATAGAGTAATGTACTCCTGATGCCCATTACTGTGATGTTTGTTGAGGCATTCCTGCCACAGCAGCATGCAACTGGTGATTAAGGCCTCCTCTGGACTGGAGAGTATGCAGCAGTTCATTATTAATAGGCAGGACCTACACTCCTGATCCAAAATATTAATCCTCTTCCCTTACACCACAGACTGTATTATTTTAAATTACTATTTTTTTTTATTTAACCCTTATGCTCTGCTCAAGAGCAACTTACAACAAGTGCTGTTGCATATACTCAGTACATGGCAGAGCATTCAAGATGATGGCATTCAGTTGGAACTGGATGTCCTCTGCTGTTGCTCAGAAGGATTAGAAAGCCTGCTCGCTTACTGGGTAGTCAAATTACCCAGGGCAGTTGGAAAACCCAAAGGAAGCTTGTGCAGACTATAAATGGACACAACTGCAGCTAGTTGATACCATTTATCTCAGAATAATACAGCAAATTGTATATTGTCAACAGGCAAAGCACACGGGAGCCTTTCTTAGAAAGCCTGCTGACACTTTGGCTCCATCCATGCATTGTAAAGGAACAGAAAATAAAAGAAGGATCCTCTGAAGTCAGTAGTTGCAATTGTACTGGCAGGTCTTTTGTAAAATTAAGAACAGTTACCTGCTAATAGTGGTGCCTTTTTTTCCGCTGTCTTGCAAACATGCAGAGAATTGAAGCATCGAGAGATCGAAATAAACAAAGCAACACGTTTCAGGAAGCGTGAAATGAAATGACATAGTGCCAGGTGAACTAAAGGAAGCCCAGGGAGAAATTTAAGAATGGGAACAGTGTGAACTTCATCCCAGCATGAATGGAGAGGGGTAATCAGAATTCAGCGGGCCCACCAATAAGCTTAACAGGGTCACGCTGTGTGCCTTCCCAAGCTGGAACGGGGTCATCTGGTAAGGGGAAAAGAATTCAATGCTTCTCATTTTAGAGCAGTGCAAGGCATGAAATCCTTATTTGTTTTAAAATTTCACAGCTCCTGGACGTAGGAAACAAAGCAGCCATATCCTGTTTGGTCACCACACACCACCTGAGGTTGTTTGTGATAGCTCTGTCACCTCTAAAGGGTATTGGGTGAGGATAATAACCTCAGCACTGCCGTAACATGTCGGAGATTCAAAATGCACTGCAGCATCCTGTGCCATAGCAACACGGCCAGACTCTACCCGAGGCTGACCTTTCTATTAGTATTTTATTTTTTATTTTTTTTAAGCAGAAAGGAGAAAAAGGTATTCACCAGGATCACGAGATGAATGAATAGGCTTACACGGTACCGTGCAAAGATAGAAAACGCCAACGGCTCCGCACTGGGAAGGCTGCAGCCAGTCCCGTTTGCACAACGCTGCCCGCAGGAGCAGAGGAGCCCCGGCCGGGCAGGACGGTGCAGGTACCGGGCACACCCTCGGGGATTAGCTCTGCCACAGCAGCGTGCTGGGAGCAGACAGAGGCACCTGAAGGCTCCTTCCAGCCCAACTTTGCGGCAACGGAGGCGGCCTCCTCCCGCAGCGCGCCCTACAGCCCTCCCACCTGAAGCGTTTCTTGCCGCCTCGACGCGCCCGGAGCGGCCGGCCCCAACCTCCCCCCCGTCCCCCCCGCCCCCCCCGCCACGCTGCGGGGCTCGGGGCGGAGAGAACGGGCGCAGGGGGCGCCCCCCGGATCGCCACCCCCCCCAACCCGCACCGGGCCCGCCCCTAAGGCGGGAGGAGGACGGCGGCAGAGGGAGGAGGGAGCGGTGGAAGGAGGGGAATGGGAACGGAGAGAGGGGAAGCGGGGGGGGGGAGAGAGGGGGGGGCTGAGGTGCCGCGCGCTCCCGCCGCCCCCGCGCGCTCACCCAGCCGCGCGTCCCGCGGGGGGTTCTCCATCAGCTTCTTCAGCACCAGCGGGAAGGCTCCCGCCAGGCCCTGCTGCTCCGGCTGCTGCGCGACGGCCCCCGCGCTCCCCCCGGCTGCCGCGGGCTCCGCTGCCGCTCCTCCCGCCGCCGCCGCCTCCTGGTGCGCGGCGCGGCCGGGCATACTCCCCGCGAGCCGGCGGGCGCCTGACGGGCTGTCAACGATCGCCGACGGCCGCGGCGCGCGGCGCCAGGCTGCTGCGGCGGCACCCCGGGACCCAGCGACACCGAGCAGCTGGAGCGGAAGGGCGCATGCGCGCCCGCCTCTCGCTTCAATATTCACGAGCGCCGCGGCGCCGCCCACCCGAGCCCTCGCGACTCGACCCGCCCTCTCCGCGGCGCCGATTGGTCCGCGCCGCTCTAAGGGCGGGCCCTCGCCGCCAGGCTCCGCCCTCCCCGCCCCGCCGCGGCCGGCGCGGGCACGCGTCCCCCGCCCTCCGGGGCACGTGCAGAGGCAGGCTGCGGCGGCTCATTAGCATGCGAGGCCCCGCCCCTCGCCCCTCCCGTAGAGCGCTGCGTCACCGCCAGCTGCTCCTAAAGGCGGCGGGAGGGGCGCACGGAGTGCGCGCGTGGGCGGCGGAGGAGCAGGGCCTGTCGCGGGGTGGGCGCGCATGCGCAGAAGCGAGAGACGCCCTCCCGCCGCACACACACGCATCTCGCCTCCGGCAGCCGTTAGTGGCTGTGGAGACGGTGAAGCCGCGAAGCGCTGTCGCTAGCCCTGATCTCTGTGGGCCCGGGCCTGGCGCTGGGGAGCTGCATCACAGCGGTGGTTGCTGTGGGACGAGGCCCCGCCGCTGGCAGGCAGATCCCTAAATATCCCTCGTCTGAAGCTCGGGATCGCCGTGCCTACGCGGCCCGGATTTAATCTTCCTCTGCCCTACATTGCAGTGCGGCCGCTGTGTGCCCCACATAGCGTGAGCAGCCAGGAGGGACATCAGCTGCCCTCAGCGGTCCGGGCAGGGCCTGCCTTCTATTCCAGCGGCAGGGATTCGCGCTGGGATTTAAGCTTCTGAAGGCGCGGGGAGATGTACGTATGCCAATTTATCCCCGAGAGCACAGGCAGATCGTGAGGAGCTTCTGCCGAACGAGCGAGCTCGGAGAAGTGACAGCACCACAGGCGCGGGCCTCTCCTGGCAGCAGCTGCTGCCTCCTGCCGCTGAAGGCTGGCTGCAGCGAACCCGCCCGGTGTTGCGAGCGGCCGGAAGAACGAGCACGCAGCCCCTCCGTAAGAGCCCCAGCTGCACCCTGCGGCACCGCGGCTGAAAGGACTGAGAGGTTCCCCCCCCCCGCCCCAAAAAGGGCCCTGTCCCTCCCAGCAGACAATAACGCTGCCTTGGTTCAGCTGCACCTCTGCAGACCTCCGGGGTAAAGGCTTCAGAAAGAACTTCAGACATTGTGGTTTCAAAGCACGGCTTGACTTGACCCTTCCTGATAAACCTCAGTGGTCACTGAGACACAAAATCAGGTCTGAATTCCTCTCCATGTGCCCCAGAGAAAAGGGAAAGGATTGGAAGCAACACGTGGTAGGTGCTCCCCACTGATACCTCATTGCAGCAAGCCCTTGTCCAACTCAGAGGGATGTGGAGCGCACGCTACCCTAAATGCCAGCTGCTTCTTTTGCACAGGCTGGAAACAGAATCTCCTTGATACTGCAGCACAATGCCAGCTCACGTGGAAGGCCACCTGGTGAATGTAGGATGCTGGAGCAGTGTGGGTTAACATATCATTGCAGCTGATAAACCCAGCTGCAAAAGCATGCAGAACAGGTCATGCTCCATTGCCTGGTGTGCTCCAGGGCTGCCACGTGCCTTTCACAGGCTCCTTCTGCCTTGCCAAGCTCAGCTGGCAGAAGAAATAATCATATGAGTGGAAGAGGGATGGCACTTCACACGGGACAATGAAAGACAGATGTCAGACCACACAGGACAGAGGCAGCACATGCAGCTCAGCAAGGGGCAAGTTAAGGTTTACAGTAAAGCCCTTGCCCAGAAAACAGCTAACTGGTAGGTGGTAACAAGAACACAACCTAGCAAGGCTGGGAAGCAGCAGCTTGTTATGAATAGGGTGAGGGGACTTGGCCAAAGTAGGGCAGTCTGCAGGCTCCCCATTCAGCTACAGCTCTCTGGGTTGCTTTGTTCCATTGTTGTTGCGGCTGGAGGCCCCCAGGGATGATGCTATGTATCAGTACAGTACATAGCTCCTTCAAGGAATGTGCTCTGTGTGCATCCCCCCCTACAGATCTAAATGGCAGCTACTTTGCTGGGTGACGTCTGTGTGAATGGAGGTTGCTACATCCACTCAGCAGCCTTTCCTCCAGGGATTTTCCCTTTAGATTTATCATGCTCTTTCTCTAGCCCATTTCCACCCCAGCTAAGTAGTTGCTGAAGCTAAAGTTTGCCCTATGCTGCCACTGCCTCGTGACTCTGTTTGGGGAGGGTTCAGCCTGCACAATGTTAGCTGTTCTGCCTAAGGGCAGGAGGTCCTGGGGAGCATTCCTGTGGGTTCCCTCTCACAGCACCCTGCCCAGGCATCGGCTCTGCCCCACCAACAAGGAGGGAGGTTGCTCTGAGAGCTTTTCCTCACTGCTTCAGTGGAGTAGGGATTCAAGTCGCTGCCAGCACAAAGTGGACATTGCTCCATCAGCTGTACCTTCCTGGTTGAGTTGGAATCTGCCTGGATCTTTACACTTGGTATTTTGCTCTGCAGCCGAGGAGGAAGAGAGGGGGACAGTGATATGTGAGGAGAGGAATGCAGTGGCATTGGCTGTCCCTGTCAGGGACAGATGATGCAGAACAGCCCAGCTTTGATGCATCAGGGAGGGAAGCAGAAAGCAGCCCAGTGCTAAGCACAGGGTGGGACATGTCCAGCAAGCTCTGCTGGGAGGTCTGAAGCCTCATTTCAAATGCAGGGCCAAAACCCAGCAAAAACAGAAGAGGGGTATGTAGGTATGGAGACCCAGGAGGGAGAACAGAGCTTTGTGGGAAGCGGAACGTGATGGGAACAGTGGCCTCAGGAGGGAAGCAGCATAATAATCACAATTCTGAGGGTTACATGAGGTGATGCTAAGAGGCAGGGTGGTCCCAGGTCTGAAGAGGAAAGCTGCCACAAGACAGCAACCTCAGCTGCCAAATAAGCCACATTCAGTTAAAATGAAATTATTCCCTCTGCAAATCATTGATCCCCAACAGCCCCTACTCCTACTTGCCAGACAGATCAATCTTGCCAGCACTCCTCCCATGGATTAGTTCAATCCACCTGGCTGTGGAGACCAGAGGTCCCAAAGGGCCAGCCATACTTCAGCTGTGCCCCAGCAAGGCTCTGTGCCATGTGAGCCACCTCTGTTCATTACTGCTGCCTTCCAGCCAGGTCTGCTTTCCACATGGGCATCAGTCAACCCTGAAAACATGACCTGCTTCCAGCATGCAGCTTCACACCGTGTGGTATGTAAGCACACCAGGTAATAGTCAAAGTCTCAGCAAAGGAGTGAGCCAAGCAAACTCACAAATGGGAGCAGCAGAGTAATGTGATAAAATAAGCCTCTGGAAGGTATGGGCATTTCCCCTTGCCTTTTCCCACAAAGTTTGCTGTATTCCAGCGGGTGTTGGCAGCTGCTTTACTGCCACAGCATTTTTCTTTCCTGTTGACAATCAGGAAAAAGGAAAGCTCCCCTCCACACTGTGGGCCTGGCTTTTCTGCTCCCAGCTTGGGTCACGCTCCCTCTCAAGACTGCCGAGCTGTCTGCATTGTCCTCTGGCAACTCCCTGCCCAACAGCCAACTCAGCGGGAGGCTTTTTTTTTGGTGAGTTCAACTTGCTCATGCCTGGACATGAGCATGTGGTGCCGAGGTGTTCCCACACACCTCGCTAGCACTCGGCAGCAAACATTACAACACAACAACCAAAAAACAGCTTGCCAAGAGCATGTGGCATCCCATCCAAAACCATCAAGTCTGTGAGTTATGTGATGGGCGCTTGGAGCGTGCCCAACAGGAGAGAATCGGTCAGCCCAGCAGAAGCACAGACTAAACAACTTCTTGGATCATTTCCATTTGTTTTTTCAGAGGGTGCACAGAGAGTGGGAAAGCCTAGGAGTACCCAAGTGCTCTTGCAAAGAAAACACAACATTTGCTTTGTTCTGTACCCCAGCTTCTCACCGATAAACAACGGTAGCATCATGCACAAAGTTTGCACAGAATCAGCCAGCTGGGCACCCCACCCCAGGCAGTGCCCATCTGGGGAGCAGTAGTGTCCAGAGACTGAGAACTCATTAACCATTAGATAGCACAGATAGAAATCCTGGAAGTTGCTCCTATGTGAGCACGAAGGTTTGTACCCAGTTCTTCTCTGTGCAGAAAGCTTTGAGGGCTTTCAAGAAGTAGCTGAGAAGAGATTAAAAGGATCAGGAGCTCAGCACTCCTGATGGATTTTGTAATCAATCCATCACTGCTGTTTTATTCCTAGCTGCACGCCACACTCAGTCCTAGCACTCCCCAGCTCACTTGGGTTCAGAGGAAGCACACCCTTGAAAAGTTTGCAGTGGACAAACTTTTGCCCCCTTCTCGCATTGCAATTTAAGGAGAAACAAAACCAGACCCCCTAAGCTCTGTCCTACCTGTCATTTTGTTGGTCCAGGGTAAGGAGTACTCCAGCAGGGACTTCAGGACTTCAGGAAAGTCCAGGGCAGCGGGGCCCCCAGGGCTGTTGCAGACTGACATGTCCTGTGCCGGGACTGCTCTAGAGAGGCCAATGTAGTGCCAGCAGCCTGGCCGCCAGTGCCGCAACCCGCTCGCTTGGACCTCACGAGAGGGGTTTGGAGGCACCCGGAGCAGGCTTTGCCAAATAACTCCGGCTGAGAAAACCCGAGGAGGAAGGGAAGCAGCTTGGTGGAGATGCAGTTTGCCCAGCTGTCTTCACCTCCCCCACTCCCACTCTGAAGTGGCCAATTGTGGAAATCACTTGCAGCCTAGCAGGGCTGGGCCGGGCTGCTGGCCAGCACGGTTTTACAGGGCCTCTCGCAGCCAATCCGACTGCGAAGAACTGGGCCAGTTATCTAACTTTGAAAAGGCAGCACCCTTTTCTTTCCCAAGGTGTTATAATAAATACAAACATTTTGAAGAAAAAAAAAAAGTGCATGCACAGTCAGGGGTGCACACGTTGGCTGTGAGCACAACAGCAAATGGATCTGTGGAGCTACGAGCTGCCCAACCTGCCCCACAGAGACGTACACACTGTGCCTGCATCTGCCTGTTAACTTTCCAGCTGTCAGAGAGGCAGAGAGAGCCTGTTTTTCTATGATGTAACACTTATTGTGTGTCCATGCTAAGTCCCCACTGATTAACGGCGAAAGGCATCCTCCTTATCAAGTTTGCATCAGACACAAGTGCAGAATTTCTCTTCAGAAGCGACACAGAGTTTTATTGGAAATCCAACAACCGCGTCTCAAAGCGGTGATGTGAGGCAAGTTCATGTACCCTGAGAGTACTCTGGTAACAGTTGGTTAGGTAAGATCTTTAGCATTCAAGCCTCTTCTATCAGTGAAGGATTCTTTTTTTTTAGTGTGGAGGGATGGACAGGAGACAGGAGGAAAAAAGTCTGATCTTCTTTATAGGGATCTGCCTTGGCAAGGAGAAGCTTACATGTGCTGGGGTCTTCTCTTGCTGAGTGTGATAATGAGGACTGAAGTGCCTTTGTTTCTTTTTGCTCCTGTCTTGCTCAGCCTTACAGTGGTTTGAGTCATAGAATCACCAAGGTTGGAAAAGACCTCCAAGGTCATCTAGTCCAACTATCCTGTTACTGCCAGTACTTCCTCACTAAACCATGTCTCTTAGTACAGCATAAATGTTTCTTAAACACCTCCAGGGATGATGACTCCATCACCTCCATTATCAGCCTGTGCCGGTGCCTGACCACTCTTTTGGAGAAGAAACTTTTCCTAATATCCAGCCTGAACCTCCACTGGTGTGACTTGAGGTTATTTCCTCTAGTCCCATTGCTGACATTTATTGCTTTGGCAAATTAGGTTTGTTGGGAGGAAATTGTCACTTAAGATCTTAAATTCTTAAATTTCAGTGGACATTTACAAGTTACCGTGTATAGAGCTGAGAAGGCACATCTCATCTTGTGTTGCGATGTCCACAAAATCTCCTGCCAACACCATGTGTCCTTGACTCACAACCCAATGAAAATCAAGCACTCAATCAGGAGAAAGTTTTACATGGGCAGTGATAGGTTTTAAACTAAAAGAGAGGAGATTTAGATTAAATATTAAGAGGAACTTCTTTATTCAGAGGGTGGTGAAGCACTGGCACAGGCTGCCGAGGGAGCTGTGGTGCCCCATCCCTGGAGGTTCAAGGCCAGGTTGGATGGGACCCTGGGCAGCCTGAACTGCTGGGTGGCTGCCCTGTCTATGGCACAGGGGTGGAACTGAGTGGGCTTTAAGGTCTCTTCCAACCCAACCATTCTGTGATTCTATGAAGAGCTTGGTGACATCATTAGTAGGATGCATCAACACTGCCCCAGAGAAGCAGAAATCATGCTATGGACTAACATCACAGCAATGCAGAGCATCCACCGCCCTTGTGTCCCTGACATGGAGAAAGCTTGAGTTGCTTTAGTGATTGGAGTTGAAATGTTGGCTCTGTGTCATCATGGAGAGCTGCGGGCATGGCCATAGATCGCATAATTTGTTCTGGTTGCACTGTTATCAGATCAGTTCATTATTTATTTTCACTGTAATCCCATATGAGTGGAGTTCTCTGCAGCCTTCTCCATCATCTTATGCCAGATGGAGAAGCCCAGTCAGCCACTCACAGCAGATTTTCTCACACACTTGACCAGCCACAGTCAACTTGCACTGGCTCTAAGTGGGTGGCACAGAGAAGGGTACACTGAACATGACACAGAGAGCCAGACTCCAGGAACAACTATTTAAATTGCAGAAGCTAGGGATACATTCATTTTAAAACCCTAATTCTCCTGCTCTCTTTGCAGGAATCTTTTTACAGGCCCAAAGTGCACCAGGAATTGCAGAGCACCTGCTGCAGGGGTCATCTGCCTTCCTGACACCCTGAGACTCCAAGGAATTATTTTGTGCACTTGGACTTCTCTGATACAGCTCTGCTTATTGCAAGGAGCTGGGTGAGAAGGCTCCTTGTACAGATCTAAATGTTACCAACTTTCCCTCAGCACCAGGAATGCTCCCTCGGTCTTTTCAAAGGGCCACGTCCGCAGTACTTCTGGAGTGGCCTTTCTGCTGCCTCCCCTCATACCAGTTTTTCACAATTTCAGCCCCAAAACATGAGACAGTGGCATGCCTGGGTGCCTTCTTGGGCAGAAACTCCTGAAAATTGTCTCTTTGGGTCTTGTATTGTGTGACAGCACCTGGCTGCACACTGTGAGGCCGCAGTTTCATAAGGGAGCTTAGTTGTGTGTTATGAGAGCACAGCTTATGGGGAGCCCACCAGCAGCAAGGATATTTGACAAAAGTGCAGCATTAATGGTTATTATTACTAATTGCTATCTCAGCTTCCTCAAATGAAATGAAAGCTTGGCTCAATAATCCAATGGGATGTTTCCTCTTAGAAAATAAAAAATATTTTTGTCTGATTTGATAAGGATGCGAAGCTTACACAACAGTAATATCTATCTATCCATCTATTCACCCCTCCCTTACCCAGAACACACTATCCACTTTGACAAAGGGATAAATATATTTAAATATATTTTTTCTACTGGACAGATAAGCTAAGAAGAAGAAAGTCAAATGAATGACTCTTCAGCAAGAAAACCTGCTGGTTTTTATTCTGTTTGACCTGGGGCATGTGTATTGGTAGCTGAGACCCCAAAGCACATATTGCCCCTGGCAGGCAATAGTGTGGGTACAGGCAGAAGCCAGCAGAACTGAGAGGACTTTGAGGTGACAGATAAGGTTTGCTGCTCCTCTGAGGTATACCTAGAAATAAGGATAAAAGTCTGTAGAAACCCTTAGAAGCTTTACAAGCCCTGCTGCTCTTGAAACAGCTTTCTTTTTTCAGTCACTTGAGAGCATCCACTTTGGCAGCACAGCCATTTGGAAATTTGGAAATTTCCATATCATCTCACATGGTCTTCCCTTGCAGGTCTTGCAGATCAAACCTACTCCCCGTGGTCTGGGTGGAGGCTCCAGCCCCAGTTCTTTCATCAAACCCAGCCTGGTAAATGGTTTCCTCTTTCTTCTCCTGCCCAAGCAAACCCTTTGCCAGAGGTCAGTCACTGCCTCTTTCCAGACATCCGTAATTTTTTTTTTCCAGTGCTAGCTCCTAGGACAAATAAATACTGTGCTCCAATGAGAGCCTCCACTGAGGAACTTAACTATTTATTTGCATAGTGCATTGGGCTTAGTGGGTGTTCTTTTTTCACTTCGGCAGGGACTGGCAGGATAAATTTTGCCATGGCCTTTCTGAAAGAATGTCTGCCCACATCCTGGAGTCTCTTCTATAGTCTCAAGATGCTGCTGCTAGTGGACAGGTGCATGAAATGCATGCATAAAACCCTTTTTGATGGTAGCAATGTGGGATATGGACAGGCAGGTTTGATGAGGTATTATGCTGAACCCCCTTCCCACCTTCTAATGGGCCACTTCTTCCCCAGACAGGTCATTGCATACATTCACATGTACGTGTGCCTGTATCCCCATGTGGAGGAGGGCTGATGAGTGATTCATGTACCTGGGAAAGGACAGATTGCTGCTGCAAGCCACTCTATTTGTATCCCCTGGTGCTGGCCCGGCCCTGGCAGAGCCTTCAGTACCCATACCTCCCCATTGCAGGGATACAGCCCATGGCTGGAGGCAGCCAGCAGCTTCACTTTCTCTGCAAGCCAGGGCTGGCATTGGGACGGGCACCTCCTGAAGTCCTATCAACAGCACTGGGAACCCCTGAGCAAACAGCACAGCTGAGCAGAAGGAATCACCTACATCTCCTGCCTGAGGGAAAAAGTATTTCTAAAAACTAATTTCTCAAAATGTGTGCCAAAATCTAATGAGTTTTTCCTTCCCACCCTGCTGCCAAGACATACCCACCTCTTGGGGCGCTCACACGGCAGCCAGGCTCACGGCATCTTTGTTGTTCTGCACGTGGCCTTCCCTGTGTGGTGTAATATGCCAGAAAAGTAGGTGCTAGGCAGGGAGATAACGTGAGAAGGACTCAGGGTCATCAAAGGTTGTGCTGCCCTGCGCAGGAAGGACGCCTAAAGCTGCTTTTATGCATTTCCCTGTTCCAGAAATACTCGGGGAGCCTGGGCAGAGCTGGCTTTGGGAGCTCTCCAAGCCTTTGCTTTATCAGACCCTTGGCAGGAGGCATAGCCCAGGAGATGCCAAGAGCAACAAAAAACAAAGGTGTTTAAGGAAGGATGGGGAAATCCAAGGACAGCAATTGCTGGGCCTCTGCCAGGGTCCGTGGAAGATCGTTGGGTGGGATAGCAAGGAAGATGCATGTTCTTGCAGCCACTTCTCAAAAGAGAGAGGCTGGCTGTAAGTGATCTCAGCCATCCCTTGGCCAACCCATCCCAGACTCACTCACCTTTCCCAGGAACTATGTTACCCCTGGTAGGAGAAGGAGCCCTGCAGGGCTGTGGGCCAAGAGGTCAGAACCGATAGATAGATAAGAGTTAGCTTGAGTCTGGGGAAAGAACACGAGCTGAAAGAAAATAGCCAGTCTCACAAGAAGCCTGGACAGCTTGGCTATAGTTGATCACCAAAAGCCAAGATACAAATGCCTACTTTTCTAACAGGACACAATCTAATCTGCTGAGTCTCTCTTGAAAATCCACTTCTGCACTGGATCCCCACATCCAGCAACTTTGTAGGTATCTTCAAGCCATTCGGCTGCGGAAAACAGAGGCCATCTCACCCCTGTGGAACTAGGACTCTCTGTCTCTGCTGCTGAGCTTTGCTGGGGTACAAACAGGGGAGCGTGCCTTAGTATTCAATTACAGAAAGTATGCAGCTTTTCATCCTCCCTGACCATCCGCCTGGAGGGCCCCAGCACTACTGAAGGCCCACAACTAAATCAGAGAGAGGAAAT